CAGCCTTCAATGGTGAGGAGGAAATTGCCAACTCGTCTAGATGCGAGTAAGATTGGCCTGCGCGAGTAAGTTTGAGCGATTTTCTCGGCAGGGAAAGCATGCTGCGCAAACGGGATTGCACTGTTTTCATACTTGGGCGATAAGGAACCTACCGCGTTGAAATCCCGAGCTGTTGGATTTTGCCGATCCACTGCCTTTGAGTCCCCCGTAACAAGAGTCCATTCACAAAATGAAAAATCGCGAGAAAAAGGTAGTCTTGCGCGAGAACCCGTCCCGGCCTTGGAGCGGGACGAAATTGCGTGATACTGGCGCTAACTTCGGGACCAAATCGGGTTCTCGCGCAAGACTACCTAGTCCCGTAGTTTTAGGTCCAGTAAGACTCTCGCCGGGCTTACCCATGAGTGTCTGGGTGGGAGGCAAATCGCGAGCAGTCTATCGTATTCAACTTCAGAGATGTTCAATTTTGACGAGCCATTGCTTTTAACTCTCTTTTCTTATCCTTCTTAAAGGCAGTGTCCGGGCAAGAACTCGATTTTGAGATTTTGTGCTTACCCGGCACTATTCGCTACGCTGAATCCGAAAATCCACATCGGAGAGCGCGAAAACGACGAAAAAGGGCTCTAACGCTGGAGGGAAATCAGCAAGTGGGCGGGGTCTTCCCCACTGTGAATTCACGCTTCCAGCTTCCAGAGCAATTTTTTCGAATCCGTTAGCCGCCCTGACATCACTACCGCTCAAGTGCAAACGACTGACTTGAAACCGGAATCAAAAAGATCGCCCCCGAAGTTGGGAGCGTGAATTCACAGTGGGGAAGACCCCGCCCACTTGCTGATTTCCCTCCAGTGTTAGAGCCCTTTTTCGTCGTTTTCGCGCTCTCCAATGTGGATTTTCGGATTCAGCATAGCGAATAGGCCCGGGTAAGCACAAAATCTCAAAATCGAATTTTTGCCCGGACACTGCCTTTAAAGAGAGCCTTCTCTTCCAGAAGGGAATTTAGAGGAATGTTGGAACTACCGTCCGACGCGCTAAGCGTCCTGAACATTTCCGCGAATATCATCGAAGCGGGGACGATGCATAAGCCACTCAAGGAATAGGGAAGAAGATCGGACTGCGAATAAATCGGAGGAAGACTCGGTTTATGAAGAATCCCCTTTGCGAATATGCGGAAATAAAACTGGAAGGTGCATCCATTGGGGAGACTTCTTCTTACGTGTATCCTGAACGTTCGATGAACACGGAGAACAACTTGAGGGGAGAACAGGAGAGGAGAAGCAATCTGGGCCGTTTCGGACCTCTAAAGGAAGCCACCGAGTGACTGACGGACCCGTAGCTCAAAGCCCACCTGTTTGACTTCGTTCTCGCAGCTCATTATTGCGCCCTAGGAAGATACAATGGCTACGTCAAAGTTTTACGAATAGTGCACAGAGCGCTTGAGGCAGTCTTCTGAAAATCTGCGGCACAAGCGAAACTCCGCAGTGCGGATATGAGAAGCTTCTCCCGTGTTCGTGATCCAGCGGGATACGTCGCGAAAGCGAAATGTAGATGGGCCGGCCATCATGAGAGGAACAGACCTGAGTAAGAACGTCAAAGTCCTCGCGAGGCAAAACATCCCCGAACATACCAACGAGCAAACGGTTCGTAGAACAAATGGACCAGCTGAGAAATCAGCTGTATACGATTGGGCCTGGAATTCGTAGGCGCAGCCATCTACGACTAGTTAGAAAATCATGAATGTCTGAACCGAGGGACAGGGACCCATGGAAAACAGTTCTGGGTCCCGAACGTCACGTGAAGACGGTTCATCTAACAAGGAGAGGATACTTAGTCGAAAGCACCAATCCAGATGACACATATATCACCTTGAAGCGCTTGAAACGCTGATTCCAAATCTGTGGTTTCTAGCGCTGTGCGAACTCACATCACAGAATGCCTAAGTACGCTAAATTTACTTTATACTTCTATTCTTTCACTGTTATAGTAGTATAATCAACGAATAAGCTTCTAGCACTAGTTTTTATAATACATCTCTAGCATATTTGTGCAGCATCCACTCTTACAGCGTGGGTTTACTTTCATGTGTGCAATTGTGCCGTGTAAGTTCTTTTGCGTAGTTCGTTTTATACCGGGCTTATGCTACTTTTAAGGGGTCAGTGCGTGTTATCTTAAAGGGGTTCTTCAGTTTTGGCACTTGTCAGAGTGGAATGCGCAACCATTTTTCCTCGTTGCATTCATTTGACACCAAGCTATTTTTTTTTCTCGCGAAGTCAGTGTTTCATGTACTTCGAATTTGAACACGAAACGAAGTTGAAACTAGATACTATAACAACTAATACTAAATACTACAACACTCGTTAATCGTTTTCTATAAAACTACATGCGAGTTAATGTTTGTATGAAGTGCTAGGGTAGAGTTAACCTTGCTCTGAGCTAGGGTTAAATTAACCCTGATGAATCACGTAAGTTTAACCTCCAGGGTTAGTTTAACCCTCACGGTTCGTTGATGAATACGGGTTAGTCGCTTTCGGGGTAAAATTAACCCTCAAGGTTAGATTTAACCCTCAGGGTTAAGCCTACCCTGTGTTTCATGAATACGGGTTAAACGCTTTCCAGGGTTAAACTAATCCTCCAGGGTTAGTTTCCTCGGGGTTCGTTGATGAATACGACCACTGGAGTATGCTAAGCTCAGCTTCGGGTCTGTATCAATCTCGTTGTCAATGGGACGTTGACAGTCTCCTCCCTTGTCTATGCACTGAAATCCATGTCTCTTGATGATGTTCTGCTGGCGATCTTCTCGCTCCATTTTTCGGACTGAAATCACCGAAATGATCTTGTATGAGGCGTGATCTTCTCCGCAGTTCTGAGGTCCTCAGATCCTCAAGTTGGTCCTCGTCATAGATTGATGCTGAGCATACACAGTGAAGACTGTCAAGGCTGGAAATGATCCACATCTTTGTGTAAGTAGCCTCACATGAGTTGTTGGTTTCCGAAAAGCGATATCATTGGCCGAGCTCATATTGACAAGAAGCATCGCACCGCCTTCTTTGCAATCCCTGGAAACACGTCCCCTCCGCTATAGGCCTCGAACCCTCACGCGATTTCTCAAAAATCGCGGTGAAACGCGATCTGGCAAATTGCCAGGTGTCCGCAGATCTACACTTGTGGAATTCAAGTGCGTAGACGCATAGCTTTTGTATCATGTGCATACATGACAGGCCTTGCTTACAGAGTACGTTTACGAAAATTCATGAACAATCAAGGTGGCGAAGGTATGACCGATCCCATACGCGGCACTCAGCGCTTAGCGTCACTTTACCTCAGTACAATGATTACTTCGCTTTTTTGCCTTTTGAGATCCTTTCTCAAGCAGACTTCTACCTCCGTGCTGTCTTCGTATAGTCACATTGACGTAATAAAAAAAACTCACGACTTTCTTCCCGACTAACTCTTCGCAGCTAAAGACATCACAATTGGACTCATCGTTGCAAGCTGATACCGATCATATGTGTGGTTTTCATAAGGCCAATTCAAGTGAGGTGCCTTCCCTTGTTAGTATCAAACTGCCGCTGGGTGAGCTGTTAGAAGTCACACATGCTGGAAGCGTAGTTTAAAGTCTTGTTACAGTCTAAAAGGGCGTAGTATAAACCACCCCTGCTCGCTCTAAGGGTCACAAGCATCACTATCCCTGCAGGGGAGTCGATGCAGCTTAAAAGAAACCTTCATGTTGTGAAGCTCCAGACATCTTGATTTGACGTTGTCTACCTATCCATTACTATCTCTCACCATAAACATATTGAACAGGAGCGCGAAGTTTTACAAGCCGCATTTTCCAGCTTTTTGTATGACCTCCTGGTAAAAGGGCATGAAATCTGCCATGTACCACAAGTCGAATGTTGGGACTATCGAAAACTACCGTTCGACTACTGGGACTACCGTTCGGGTAAGTGTTCCGTATAGGTCGTAATCCAGCCAGACGCAAGCACCCACGCCCATAATGCGCGAACGTAGGCGCCTGACTGTGTAAAAGCCCGACAGGCAGAATCGGGTAGGTCTGCAACGTCTTGTCCGCTACCCGATTTGACTATTTGCGTGGAACAGCGCGTCTCCTTGATTAGGTGATCGAAAACGTAGTAAATCGAACGATACATTTACTACTCAACAAATAAGGTTGCAAAAGATTCGTCTGACTTGAGATTTGATTCGGTTGATTTATGAAATTTTCAAGAGATTCTAAGCCCGATCTCTCCAGTCCGTAGATCTCAAGACTAAACCAAATCAAACTTCAAATTAGACAAATATCTTGCTATAAAAAATTATCAAATCTTATTCGTTGACTAATAAATGAATCCGATTTATTACGTTTCCGGCCACCCAGATAAAGAGATGCGCTATCTCACACATTTTATAGTCAAGCGGATCGGGTAGGTGACCAGGCGCAGACCTAACCGATTCTGCTGACCGGACTCCTGCACCGTCAGGCGGCGCCCACGTTCGCGCATCATGGGCGTGGGCGCCTGCGTCTGACTGGATTACGACTTGTACGGGAACACTTACCCGAACAGGAAACTGCTACTGCTCCGGAGAGCGTCGCATGTCCCTCGCAAAACGGTTGCTCGCTCCTGCAATGGTTTTTTGGGTACTTCCCGCAGTAAAGGATCCTTTAGAAGCACGGTATACGGGTACACGTGCACATTTCGGCGCGCTTAATCTTAAAGCAGAGCGCGGCTGTACATTTGAATCTAGGAAATGAAGTACCTAAGTGTTGCTCCACCTAGTGATTTTCTAGTGGATGATCCAAAGAATCGCAATGGAAGATGAACAAAAAAAATAATAGCACATTGTAATTTCATATCTGTTATGAGGCACTACATACCGTCAACTTCTCCTTAAATGCACAAAAATTTGCTATGCTGCAACTATTTCACAAGCAAAGTAATGAACCAAATTATGTTTACTAAGTAGTTCTTTAGCGAGAGTCAGCCAAAAAACAGTGATCAACTTACCTTTACCTAATTTCCATGTTCTTGCTATGGTAATAAAGACGTAGGCTTCCTTGGACCAGATTCGATGCACAGCAGAGAGAAGCTTTGTAGTTTTTGCAAGGACGACCTGGAATTGAGTCTCATCAATAACAGAATCCGTTCGCAAACAAGCAGCGGCGGGAAAAAAATAATGAATCAGAGTGGATTCAGTGAAGATGGATGACAATAGGATTTAGAGGAATGTGGTCGGAGCGTAAGATCGCAGAGAATAAGGAACATTGCAACGAAATACTACATACTATCTAATGTTGGAAATTAGTTTTTGCTTTATTTTTTCCTCTTTTCGTTCACCGATTCCCGGAGTAGGCTTATAGTGACCTGCCTAATGATGTTTTGTTCCAATATCTTTCTTCTTCCTCAGCTTATTTACTTGTGATCATCTTTCTTAACAACGGAAGACATTTCCTGTAATTTCTGGTCAGAGACTTGAAACAGGTAGCGGCTCAGATGCCTCTCGAAAAATATGTAAAAAAATTGAAGAAATAAGAGTCCGCAAACTCGGCTTAGATTGCTGTGTGTTTTCTCAACAGAGCGATATGACAGCGCAGTCGTGAACTCTTTTAAAGTTTTTGTAGTGTTTGATAGAATAAAACTTCTCAGAAGTCAGTTGCTAACATAGTACATCGACACTGATAAAACTTTTCAGTCAACCAATAAGATCTATGATAAATTGAGTCTTTTTGGCCAATAGGCGTCGATGCGGAAATAGCCGAAGTGCAGATTCATATGGCAGCAAAACATCCTTTACATCTAACAAGTTTGTAAGTCGGAATAGAGAAGGAGAACTCATATAAGCTGAGAAGCAAATCCAGGACTTGTGTAGAGGTCAGTGAAACATGGACATGTCAGAAGACGGTCTTCTACTCAATAAAAATAGGAGTTTGCATAGGTGGTAGTGCAAACTATACTACTGCAAACTATATTGTGGAGAGTAAAAACTTGACTGAGAAAGCAGTAAAACAAAAGTTTGATCATCCTCGTAAGTGCAAAGCGAGTGGGCAGAACTTGCGCTTGTTTCAAGCAATTGGTGTTTTTTTCTGATATCGTGGATGTTTTCACAAAGTCGAGTTAGATAAGAGAAACATACATATCTCAAAACGCAAACAGGTAACGTGAGCAGGCGATAGATGATAACGTTTATAAAAGGATCCTAACATTTCCGAGATGATTAAAGTAGCGAAACATACTGAAGGTAAATGTGGTACGGTGCGTTTGATCGTTCCTCAGTGATCCGATTTACCACTCAAGTGCTTCTTTAAAAAAAGGAGGAGCCGAAGAGCAAACACAAAGGAACACGCAACTGTGTAAACATCAGAATAATGTGAGCCCTAGATTCAAGAATGAGGCAGTTGTGCTGGGCTGTACTTGTGCAAATTTCGCTCACTTTGTAATTTGATAGAGGCTATTTTTTATGTTTGAGTGAACGGCTGAAAAATTCTGCAGCAGCTCGACTCACGATGTTGGGAAATCTCATTCTGACAGTAATTTAGAAGAGTTCGAAACGCAAAACTTCCCACAGAATTTACTGCTTGATTTTGGCTATGTGAGAACACATGTAGACTATGTTGAAAACGACGTAAATGTTCACACTTTCAAGCTCATCTGGATTGCATGGCTTGCAATAGGCAAATCAATGAATTTGATAGTTTTATTGTAGAGAGAACATAAAAGCTCTCTTATCCTCAGTTTGCACGTAGAATTGTATCACAATGTCTGCTTGCCCCACAAATTCTCCTTGTCGGAGAAACAGCCTATTTCTTGAAATTGGAATTGGGAAAGTAGACAGCATCTCTACTTTGAGCGTTGTCAAGAAGTTTTCATTTTCGTATGTCTTATGCGACTAAGATGGCGCTGGGGGAGAACAATGATTTGAGAAGAAAACAACAAATAACGACCATTAACAACAGTAAAATGTAGTGCTTATTCAGATGTTAGATTAAGAGCATCTGCTTTCAGCTTTTCGTAGAATCTCCCACTAGTGCACTTGCACTCTATCTCTTCGTGAATTTTTGTCTGTCTGATTGAATGAGAACATTGCTGGAGTGGGAGGGAAAGGACTGGCACCAGCAAGAAATTTTTAGGATATAAATGATCAATAATTCATTCTCTGAGCGATAAATATTGTAATCGAGGAACACATACGAATCAATAATGTTTTCAAGTTTTTTTTATCACTCGAATTATCTCAATATCAGAATAACTGAATATCTATCACAGTCATTCGATTATTCGACTGGTTACTGCTTGCTCTTAGTCGGATGAGAGGCAACTCGAATTAGGCGTCTATTTTTTCAAAATTTACCTAAATGTGGTCGCAATTCCAAATACAGTTCAAAATCACAATTCATGCTCAGATGATAATTTGGCTTTGGCGAAAAGGTAATAATCATATAAATGTACAGAATTTCAAAGTTCATACATTTTTCTAGCTCGAATAAGTGCTTTTCTCAAATAATCGGTTCAAATTCAAATATGTGCATTTCCAAGTTCGACATTCCATATAAAAATGTTAAGTACGCTCAGAAGATTAGAAGTAACGATTAATAAACCCTCAACTCAGTGTCTGCACATCTGTGCCCTGTAAGTTTGATAGCTAATGAATTTGCTAATCAATTGAACATCACAGAAACCCTTTGTTCAAGGCGAATGGTGCCTATCGTGATTGAAGTCCCAACAGCAGTACAGCAGAGTGCTAGCGTAATTGAAAATCTCGTTGAAGAGGTGATATAAATTGAGGAAAAGCGAACATTCACCAAATACGTTGCAAAAATTATTCTTTACTGTTTGGCTGAAGCGTAGCGTTTGTGTTGTCACTTTCTGAAAGGTTTTTTGGTATACCGTAGAGCTAAAATAAAGAAAAAAGAGAGGAAATCTGAGGCGAATCTGAGGCGCAAAGGTGGCTGCAAAAATAGAACAATAATGAGTTATGAGACTAGTTATGCCATCATTAGCTGCCTTTGGATCATGCCAGATCAGGCAAAGCCGATTGTCTTGCGACATGCCATTTTGCTACATTACACACGAGCCAATGTGTAAGCATTTTGAGATATGACAGTACAGACTTTACAAAAGAAAAGCAAGGATTATTCTAGGCGAAGAATAAAGCTCCTATACTTTTTCTTCACCGAGAAAGACAGGCTAGGACAGTGAGTTGTATAGATCCAATGTCGATGCTCTATCCCGGCCAAGCATGTCAGTTGGAGACGTAAGAAGTCGTGAAATATGGCCTCTCCAGAGCCACACGTACAGCAATGCCTACAAAAAAGACCCTTTTGTTAGGCATCGGACAAGCGAATGACTCGCTTCTTTTATGTATCATAGAAGGAATATCTTGGACACTATGACAGTGCGGATTCTTACTATTTAAGGTCTATGCTCCTCCGAAAATAGCGCGGAATGTGAAGCGTGCTTGAAAACGTTACAGACTCTCAGACGGACCGTCTTACCATACTAGATTAGATGTAGCAGATAATGCCAGAAAACCGCTTGATAGAAGAAAAGCGAAGGAATTTTGTGGTGGTACCGTGTAGATAATGGTTGTAGGTGATACGACCATGTCAATCCAAAAGAAGAGAAAATTCAAATAATATATCCAGTTCCGTTTCATTGTTTCCACTACACGGAAGGATAGGAGTACGACCTTCCATGGAGATCATCAGTAGTGAAGGAAGGTCGTAGGCATGAAAGGGAAAAAGAGGAAGAAAGGGTACTAACATTAACCAGTCGAATGTTATTGAGCTCGTACTTGGGGTGATCCTGAATCTGAAAGGAATTAGATTTGAACTGTTGGAAAAAAACTATTTTTGAACGATTGGAAGGCAACAAGGATACATTGACATGAAAAGAAGTTGTTGGAACATCATAGCTGATTGAAAGTATTCATGCGATTGAGAAAACATATTTCACCTGCTCCTGTGATGTATGAATTCAACGAGCATTCGCTATCAACCACATTCCCATCGCAACACGTTCGATGTTTCGGAAACAGACTTGGTTGACTCTGTGAACATATAAAATTTTTCTGAAAACACCTAGTGGATGCTGGCAAAAAGGTGAATCTGCCCTGCTTCATTGCACCTTCATCTTTTGGTAAATCAATGGCAGCAAGTGATGAAAATAGCGGTCCCAAAGCTATAGACTGGAAGCCAACCAGCATGTCGGAGGCATTTCTATTATATCACGTTGATGCATAATTCTTGCACCAACATATTTGAAATTCTGCTACTTCACCCAGCTTCGATGAAATTTTCTGATTTGATAGATAGTAGAGAGAGAGAGAGAGATCAAATCTTGCGCTTTCTGAAGGTGCTCAAGCCATTCCTCGAGGGCGTATGGCCGACACAAGGTAAATAAGTGAGATGCCCAAAAGCGGTTTTTCGATTTTTAATCGCTAAAATTGCTAAAACGTCTACTACAGTTTAATTTAGTTTTAGTCTAAGTGTTATGACCAGGGCCCGGCACAGATCGTCTGGAAGCAGGCTGGACTTCGTTTTTGGAGCAAAAAGCAAAGGGGACTTCGTTTTTGCGGGGTCCGGGGCGGAGCCCCGGAAAAAAAATTTTTTGTACATGCTTCACTAGCGAGATATTGTGGTGCAAATCTGCCCGGATTCGTAAAGCTTGAGGAGGGTAGAAACTGATTTGCAAGTCACTCACTGCTGCCATATAGGTTTTCTATAACAGTTAGGAATGACAATTTTAGCTTTGGCTCTACCTGGACCAAAAGACCAAGCCCAGAAAATTTCAAAATCTTTTTCAAGATTTTTAGGGTTTTTTTACCACTGACCCTCTCAACAAGTTCAGTGATATTTTCCGTGCTCTTTCTGTACCACTAAGATCCTCGATGAGAGGGCAGACTCTCTTCGTAAACAGCCAACAGCTTTGCTCTGCAAAAGGTATGAGTGAGCAGTACACAAAGATACGATGCTGAAACGTAGCACTTAAATTCTGTCAAAGTCGTATCATCTACATGCCCTCCTCTTATAGACTTCTCATGTGGTAGCGGAGCAGCCTTCAAAGGAACATAGAGAGAGTCGTTCCTGAGATGGCGTAAACAAGAATTTGAGAGAAACATGATTATGGTGCACAAGTGATCGAGAGATCAACTCAGTTTTTAGGAAAATTAGTAGGTTTTACGGTAATTTTCTCCTGGATCTGGATGCTTGTCAATTGAGGATCGACACAACCTTTTCCAAGAATGGTACAATTGGCTTTGAAACCTAAACAGACTCGAGCACACTGTAGCCTCCAGGCGCCCGGCTAGGTTTTTTGTCACACTATTAGCCTTGAACCCAACCTATGGGATGTACGAATCACCATATCTCGTGTTTCGGTTCTAAGATGTCTAGCTCGTTCCTCAACGGTTCCTCAATAGTTCCTCACTAGCTCCTCAACAGTTCTCTATTCACTGTTCTGTATTAGCTCTTCTGTACTACTCTTATTCTCTTTATTTGTATATCAGCTTCTTCTTGTGGTTTGTCATATTTTGTGATAAACCATTTATATTTTACCAGTTGTTCTGCTAAGTCAGTGGAACCTGCGGTCTAGACCGTCCTACCGCCACTTGGGGGCCGAACCGCTGACTTAGCACCGACAACTGTGGAAGCGTCGAAGACCTTCCAGAAGAAGCTAAATTTTGGAGCGTCAACGACCTCCAAAGTCGATTAAGTTTGGGGCGTCAACGACCTCCAAATCGATTTGAAGCGGCGATTGTATCCCGCATAAGCGGGACAACGATATGCATAGCATAAAGCTTTATGGCAATCAAGCGTCACCGAAACAATGGTCCGATTCGGAGTCGGCCGTTGATCTTGGTGAAAGTAGAGAAAGATTGACCGTAAAAGGCAAGGAGAGAAGTAGTTGCTTCAAATGTGGCAAATCAGGGCATAAAGCAAGACAGTGCACGTTGCAGAACGCCACAAAGGGCAACGCCGAAAAAACTGAACGATACAAGGCATCTTCGTTCTCCACTGATCTTGATAGGTGGTTATGCGCAACCACAGGTGCCAGGAAGAGTGCTGGAGAATTTGTTGGTAAAAAGGTAGTTGTGCCTGCAAAAGTGATGAACATGGAAGTAAACGCACTTATAGACACTGGCTCCGAGGTATCTATAGCATCATTAAAGCTGTTCAAGAGGGCCAAAGAAGCTGGAGTCGATCTAGATGCTTATGTGGAGAGAATCTCAGGAGTAGTATCTAATGCTGTGATACGCGACGCTTCTGGGAACAGAATAGAAATCTTGGACGCAATCAAGATGCCTACGGAATTGTTTGGCAAGTCAGAGAAGATTCCGGTATATGTCGCCAGATCATTAGAAAATGAGCTGATCTTGGGGACAAATGTTCTATGCAACTTTGGTGTCAAAGTGATTCGAAGTGATACCAATAGAGACTTGCTCAGGTATTCAGTCAGAGATCCCTCGAATGTAGTGAAAGATTGGACTGATAGACTACTTGGAAGAAACAAGACGAAGCCAAAAGTAGGAAGGAGACTTTTAAAAGGCCTAGAAAGAAAAGAAGAAACAAGGCGCACAAAGCGCAGAAAGATGAAGCAAGATTCCAAGAATCAAGACGGACTCTTGGACAAACCAGTGGCCGATATGAAGCAATCGACGAAAGCTGTGAAGACGTACAAGCTGAAAAAGAAACAACAGCCAAAGAATAGATTCGTCGATGTCAAACGAATGTGCCTGGAACAGCAAGATGAAGCTGATTCCAAAGTATCAGCAAGCAAGAATATTGTGAAAAAACCTAAGAGTGTTAATGAGAAGCGGTATAGAAAAGTGTGCAGATGTACTGAATACCCTCGCGCATTCTGGGATTTTCTTGAAATGGTCGACTATGTCAGAGCACATCCCTGCCAAACTAGTCGCACAAGTGGAAAGACACAACAAAATCAAACAGAAAGGAGTGAAAACTTGTTGCGGTGTCAGAAATCTGGAAGAAGATCGCTTGGACAAGGATCGCATGGACATGGACCGCATGGACAAGGATCGCATGGACAAGGATCGCATGGACAAGGATCGCTTGGACAAGGATCACATGGGCAAGGACCGTTTGGACAACGACCACAAGGAAAAACAAGGAAGAAGAAATCAGATAAATCATTGTTGTTGTAGTTGTTAAGTGTTAATATTCGTAGTTGTTAAGTGTCAGTAGTTGTAGTTAAGCTTAGTTAATTTAGGTTAAGTTAAGTTAGGTAGGTTTTTGTTGAGTTTACTAGTTGTTAATAGTCTAATAGTTGTTAATAGTTTAAGTGTCGGGACGCCACTTACGATAAGGGGGGACGTGTAGCCTCCAGGCGCCCGGCTAGGTTTTTTGTCACACTATTAGCCTTGAACCCAACCTATGGGATGTACGAATCACCATATCTCGTGTTTCGGTTCTAAGATGTCTAGCTCGTTCCTCAACGGTTCCTCAATAGTTCCTCACTAGCTCCTCAACAGTTCTCTATTCACTGTTCTGTATTAGCTCTTCTGTACTACTCTTATTCTCTTTATTTGTATATCAGCTTCTTCTTGTGGTTTGTCATATTTTGTGATAAACCATTTATATTTTACCAGTTGTTCTGCTAAGTCAGTGGAACCTGCGGTCTAGACCGTCCTACCGCCACTACACATTACACAAGGAAAACTCGACGAAGAACGTGAGTAGTGACAAAAGCACCAAAAAGTGCATGCAACAAGCAGAAGCAATGAAAATGACCAAGAAATTACCTCTAAGTTAGAGTCTAGACCCATAGTCTCCTATCTCTAAGGATATTCGATCTCTAAGGCACTTTTGTAGATGTGCTTCCAAGCAGTGATCATCGCTAACTCTCCACTAACCAACTCCAACACCTAAAAGTCCTTATTTGAAAGCCTTAAGGAGTACTCCAAGAGATCTACTCTAAGGCTGGAATCCAGGATAGACCATAGTCTCAAGTACTCAAATTGCAACTTGCAAATTTGTTTCAGACAGACAGACAGACACAACACAAAAAACGTAAGGACCCAGCTATTATAAGTTATGATAATTCCTTCACTTCCTCCTGTATTTCAAAGATAAACGAAGATAGACCATCTAGACGAACACAAGGTTTTCGGACAGGTTATCACACGATTGACATGCTCTATCGTGTATGGCGGAAAGTGCGCGCGATTTGAAAGCAAGGCCAAAATAAACAAATCGCTTGTTTACAGCGCACACAGAATCATATGACACCAAAATTGCACCGTACATATAGAAAATTATTTGCGGAAGAAATATGTAAAAATATTTGAAAACTTATGTGAAGTAATACTTTTTCCAAAATTAGATCGTCTCCAGACGGCCACCAGACGATCTGAGATCGTCTGGAGCATATATTTTCGTCACTTCACATAAGTTTTGGATCATTTCAGCATGGACGGATGCCCCGGTCAAAAATCTATCCCTGAGCATAAAAACATTTTCATATTACCCCCTGTCCGTCGTTTTTTATCACCTTTTTTCCGAAAATCGTTATGTTAGATATCGCGCTCCACCGCCGTATCCGCGTTGCTCTGAGCGAAATTTCGATCGCTTGGTCGCTTTGCCACAAACATTGAGTATTTCCTCTGTTCTAATCGTTCTCTGTTCTTGTTCTTCCTGCTAGTTCAAGCTTTTTGTTGTTTAAATACCTATAGCGCTTTGATTTGCCTTCATAAATATTCTCGATTAGTTTGAATTCAGACAGTTTCATGTTCGACAAGTGGTTATGTTTCTAGGAAGGGATGCTCGGGAAGGTTATTGCTCAAGATGTCGTCGAAAGAAGAGGAGTTCGCTTGTTTCTCTGACGGAAACGCATGAGAGTAAAAAACCCATGGCGAAAGAAATACAGTCGCAGAATGTCATCGATGCAAGAACAGCTGTTGTACAGACTCGGAGGAATAGCCCGTTGGTTACATTTTGTTCTGTTTATACCTCTGCTGTATTCCTTTATT